CAGCCTTGTCCTGATTGGGAATATGACTCTTAGGCCTAAGCCGACACGGAGCCGACCGCTCGGTACTGATGGTGCCTGACGGACACCAAGGCCCTCATCAGCTCAGGAGCCCCCAATCAACGCAAAGGATCTTTTGAATGACATTCGATGGTCTGGCCCTGCGGGCCGGAGCCCCTTTATGCGATATTCGGCCAGCCCTTCGGGCCTTGATCGCCGGTCCCGCGGGGATGCTCAGACGCCTCGGACGTGAGGGGTGCGCCCTAAGCGCGTACCCAAGTACGCTCCCCCTGTGCCACCACCCCTGCGCCGCTGTAGCCGCCTTGTCTCATTCTGCTACGCTCAATTTCCATTCCTAGTTTGCTCTTAACTAGTTCAAAATGCCAATCAAAGTCGAAGCTGACAAAAGGCTCTGAAAAGGTTCATTTCGTGTCACATGTTGCACATCAGATAGAGGCTTTACTGATGTGCAGGATGTGCAGTATGTGACTGCACATCACTAAGGCCTTACTTTGCTTCCTTAACACTATCCCACCAATACGCCAGTAAGCACTGGCTGCATTGAACACGCCAGTAAATGTTGGCTGCGCTGACAAGTGAGGGAATCTTGGGCAATGAATGGCTCATACCTTCCCATGTGTTTTATTACTCATGGATATCGGTTGTGATGTATGAGGTATGGTTTTTTTGCAAACCAAGAAAGGCTGAGCGTACGACATTCTCACAATGACAAGTGCTACACAAGTACAAAGTATCCATATTATGGCCCATCCACCCACTGCTCAATAAAGTCAGGCTATGGTTATGAATATTTGGGTTGTTTTTCTTGGATTTCGGTGGGATGTTTGCTTTAAACTGTTCAGTATGTGCAGCCTGGTTTATTGATGTCTTGTGTCTACCACGGGTTTCTCTCGCTGGGGCTCTTGTTTTAAAGATAAAGATATGACTGCTTCATGATTGTTTTGTGTTTGCCAACACATTTTTTGGTATGATCTTCAATCTCAAGGAATGGAAAGAAATGTACTATTTCGCCTGTTGAAGTTTTCGACCCGCAAAAGCCCGCAAAGACTGGTCCATAACCCAGCCAAAAGGCGCGGGCTTTTGCGAGTCAGAAATTGGTGGGTTGGCGGACTGAAAAGTTGCATCTAATCTCAGTCCACACACATCCGCTGTTCATTCCTAATCCGCGGCATCCACCCGCTTCCATCCGCTTGCATTGGTCCAGGATGTTGGTTCAATAGCGGAAAACCGGAGGAAGGCTCATATCAAAGCAAAGCAAACTACTCTTTCGCGTTAATAATTGCAAGAGTGGTGTGGATGAAGCTATAAAACTGAACATAACTAAAAGAAGCGCAAGAATTAGCATTGTGTACGATTTTAAAGCAACTGCATGACTTTTCCGTAAAATCCCATCCCATCGTTACTCACCCACCCATGCCGCTAATTTTTCCCAAACCGAACCGAACCAAACCCCTCACCCATTCCACACGGACACTTGGGTTTGTCCAACCACCTGTTAAGTTTTCTTACATGAGGACATCGCTTCTTACGGTCGTTTTTCATCCGAATGAAACAGACTCTACAATGCGCACTACCTGTACGGTAGCAGTCACTATCAATGGCCCTTTCAACCGCCGCGTCTCTTGCAGACACTCCGAATGGAACGTGTTCATCATCAGGCGACACCCGAAGGGCGGCTTCATGAACCCGAGCGCGGTGCCCCGCGGCCCCTTCTGCAACTACTACGTCCACGAAGAGCAGGACGAGGGTATCATGATCGAAACGGATGTGCCTGTCAAGGAGGTGAGTGCAAGCCAGACAGATCAGGCGTGGCGGTCCAATGCGCTGAGATTCAGAAAAACGTGGCGGTCCAAGGCGCTGATATTCAGAACAGTTACTATCAGACGCTGTCAAAGATTTAATTATGGTCATCAGGGCTGCCATCTGTACTGCCTTGTTAAAAGGAAAACCGAAATATACTCGGTTGCAGTTGTTGAAATCCTAATGTCATTAGCATTAGGTAAATTACGGTCAGTTGTGGTATGGATGAAGTCAAATTTCAGATGCTTTTGTGTGACACCACCTCTGGCAGAAAATGTTATTATCACTAGTACTCACACCCACACCCACATCCACACCACACCGACACCACACACCCACACCCACACCCACACACCCTCCCACACACACACACACACACACACACACACACACACATATATATATATATATATATATATATATATATATATATATATATATATATCCCTCCCTCCCCTCCAATAGCCAGTATGAGTAGACATGTAATAGCCAGGGCAACCAAAAAACAAAAACCAAATGAAATATATATTTAAGCTGAAAACTTACCCATAGGCAAGGGAATGTTTTAAACAATGGCGCGGCCAGACACAGGGTGAATGTAAGAACTATGACTTGGGAGTCTAGACAAGCCTGAGGAGGGGAATGCGGATGTTGTCCACCTGTTTTCTCCTGTACATAACGCTCGCTTCTAAACTCACCATTCGGTTAACAAGCTACCCAAATTCCTAAGATTATACATGCGCCTCAATATTGTTTCGTGTCCACTGGAGAGAGGCATTTGAGTCATTGAGACATCTTCCTCCACAGTTAACATGCTAAAATGTGAGGTGTGCACAGGCTGGTCAGACTTTGGAGTTCGAATCCATCGTAGCCAGAGATTTGCTCCAGGAAAGATCAAAGAAGACTGAAAAACTTGGAAGATTCCAAATTTTTCCACCCAGTTTTGGAAACGTTCAAGGGCTTCCCCCGATCGCGTTCCTGCCATCGGTCATCGCTTGGAGAGACTTGGATTACCCTGAGACCCCCCGATTTAAATGTCCCCGAAATGAGACCTCCCCAAAAATCAATCAGATTTTGGATTTTCTTGGAAGGGTCATTTTTAGGTGCGCAATCGCCAGGGCTTTCTAGGGGGAACAGTCGGAGTTCCCTGACGGACCGGTTAGAGATAGGTTAGCTAACCTATCGAGATCGGACTTTTGTCATGCGTAATCGCCAGGGGGCGATTGAAAACGTTCCGGGTCAACTCCCTTGAATAATATTGGAAGTGTCCGAAAGAGGATAAAAATCCCAAAACCAAGTGTCTCACTAGCAATGCTGATCCCAAGCTTCCCATTACCGGCATCGCTGGGGGAACGGCTGGGATGTCCTGGCTGAAATCGGACAGAAAAATCGGACAGAAAATGTTGGCTTTGATAGCTCATAGCACCCGAATTGTTACGTGCGTGTGTTTTTGCCGGCCACTTTTTAGAGGGCGCCGCTCCATACCACTCAACCAGCCGAGTCCAATTATCGCAGGGTCTGAACAAACATGACCAATGCGTTTTTATCTCGTGCGATGGTCTTAATGCACTGAAGCTTCTGAGTTTGCTTCTGTCTAAAAATGTTGCGTCAAAAACTCACCTCTGGCTCATTCCATGTCAGCTAACCTCTTAAGTGTGATTTAACACGCGCCCGGGTAAGCCGGCTATATACCCTTCGCTCGGGCGGGGAGTCAGTTTGACCCCCCTGAGATCTCGGACTAAGCAAGCTAGAGGCACCAAATTTAGAGGGTGTGTTGAAACTGTACGTAAGCTCCCTTAGGTCAAAGTCTGAGGTTCCTAGACCATGACCTTCGGGTATGATAAGGGTCAACGATGTCAAATTCCATATTGGTCTCCAACGTGCCCCAGTGACCTAGATAACTGTTTTCTAAGCAAAAGGCCACATGCGTCATTTAAGGTCAGTGACCTTGTTTGACCTTTTGAAGGTCATGGTGACCGCACCATGCAAGACCCGTCTGAGTTTGCATTTGAATAAGCGACAAAGACCACGCTAGGCAGTATGTTTCTTGGTCAAAAATGTTGACCTGGGTCATTTTAGGGTCAACGACCTATATGATCTCTTAGAAGTCCACGGAAGAGGGTACAATGCGGCTCCTGCTATCAATAATTTGAAATGAGCACCAGAAACTATCCCATACAGCAAGCAATAGAGTGGATAAATAGCCTGGTTTTGACCGTGGCCGACCTTAATGCCTGACCTTAGGTCAACGTGATTTGCTCATTCATATTTGTGTGTGCCTAAGAAGGCATACCAGAGATGTATGGCTTCGTCTAAACATTCCGTTGTTGCATCAGATTGAAGGATTCCCTAGAAATTGCCTTCGCTGACAGCCACGGCCTGGCTTTGACCTGCCATAGGTCAGCGATCTTACAAGGTACATCTAAATTTTTATGCCAAACGATCCGCTAAGCAATTCCATAGCTATGCAAAATATGGCGTAGCCGCGCCGCGCTGTTCGGAACAATTCTAGAAAAATCTTCGGGGGGGGGGGGGTAAATTGGCCCCCCCCCCACACCCGAGCGCGTGGTTAAGAAACCATCAGTTTGATTTGTCCGGCTGTGAGAGCGAGCTTGATGGGCCTGGCAGAGACGGATACGGTTTTGTCAGAGTCTGATGCGGCACCACCAGGAAATTAGAATCCTTCTCGGGAACTTGTTTTCTGCATTCTGTGCACAGCTTTCACCGGGGTACGAGTCACGATAAAGAACGGTGGTCAAAAATTAACATGTTGATGACAGGTCCGCAGCCCTGTAATGGCGCTCTATGTTTCGTGCTAATGGGTCAACGCAACACTCCTTTTGAAAGATATGAATGCTTCATAATCACAAGTGAGCCACAGCTGAGACGAGCGATGGTCCTTGGTGGTGGGAAGGAAGCTGAATACCGCGACAACATCATCTTCCAAACAACTTCCAGTCGTCTGGAGTGATCTCTCCTAGACCAGCACGGGAGGGGGGCCGACACTGAACGGTAGCATGGGCGCGGGGCGGACCGGTCGGCAGGGGGCTGGGTGGCGCACGGGGCTGGCCGGCCCGGAGCGCTGTCGCGCCGGTCTGGCGCGGCTATGACTGGCATCCGCACTGCGCGGGCGTATAACTAGTCTCCGCTTTTCCTTGATAGGCAACCGATGTAGATTTGGGGCGGCAATTATGAAAATCAGGGTTTAGTACGAACCGAAGGTGTCCATCAACTTGGGCAAATTGAGTTTCTATGTCGGGAAAGCATTGTAACCAATAATGATGCAACAATTCCACATGTCCTTGATATTGCTATCATAGGGCAGTGTATTGTCTATGTAATGTGGTTTCGGATAATAAAAAAATGTGCTATGGTTGCGGAGCATTGCTTAGCATTGCCTTTTCGTTGTTTTTCCATGACGTCGTCATCGCTTTACTCACCGCGTTTCCGTCTCTATGTCATTTTGTCATTTGACACAGCATTTTAAACAGAAAGCAATTCAGAAGCTTCGAATGCTGTCTGCCGGAACGAGGTGACAAAACCCATAACAGCGAGGTTTCTCCTGTAACAAAAAAATCGGAGCAAAGTGTTTCTTTCGACTACTCCTCATGTGAGCCCTGCTCCCGCGTGCCACCATCAGCCGCCACCCTGGCCCGGTTGCCGCCCCTCGACGGCGGCCGTCACCCTACTTCCCGTACGAGCCCTGCTCCCGTGTGCCACCATCAGCCGCCACCCTGGCCTGGCTGCTGCCCTTCGACGGCGGCCGTCACCCTACTTCCCGTACAAGCCCTGCTCCCGCGCGCCACCGTCAGCCACCGCCCTGCCCCGGTTGCTGCCCCTCGACGGCGGCCGTCACCCTACTCCCCGTACAAGCCCTGCTCCCACGCGCCACCGTCAGCCGCCACCCTGGCCCGGTTGCTGCCCCTCGACGGCGCCCGGCACCCTACTCCCCGTACAAGCCCTGCTCCCGCGTGCCACCATTAGCCGCCACCCTGGCCCGGTTGCTGCCCCTCGACGGCGGCCGTCACCCTACTTCCCGTACGAGCCCTGCTCCCGTGTGCCACCATCAGCCGCCACCCTGGCCTGGCTGCTGCCCTTCGACGGCGGCCGTCACCCTACTTCCCGTATGAGCCCTACTCCCACGCGCCACCGTCAGCCACCGCCCTGCCCCGGCTGCTGCCCCTCGACGGCGGCCGTCACCCTACTCCCCGTGTGAACCCTACTCCCGCGCGCCACCGTCAGCCACCGCCCTGGCCCGGTTGCTGCCCCTCGACGGCGGCCGTCACCCTACTTCCCGTACAAGCCCTGCTCCCGCCCGCCACCGTCAGCCACCGCCCTGCCCCGGTTGCTGCCCCTCGACGGCGGCCGTCACCCTACTCCCCGTGTGAGCCCTACTCCCGCGCGCCGCCGTCAGCCACCGCCCTGCCCCGGCTGCTGCCCCTCGACGGCGCCCGGCACCCTACTCCCCGTACAAGCCCTGCTCCCACGCGCCACCGTCAGCCACCGCCCTGCCCCGGCTGCTGCCCCTCGACGGCGCCCGGCACCCTACTCCCCGTACAAGCCCTGCTCCCACGCGCCACCGTCAGCCGCCACCCTGGCCCGGTTGCTGCCCCTCGACGGCGGCCGTCACCCTACCCCCCTTACGAGCCCTGCTCCCGCGCGCCACCGTCAGCCGCCGCCCTGGCCCGGCTGCTGCCGCTCGACGGCGACTGCCACCCGTACAAATGACTACGACTTAATCGTCGGACTGTTTTGTTGCGCGTTGATGGATCGGCACCAACATGAACTGGTGCGTAAAGCATATGAGGCGCCTACTACAGTACCTTTTACAGATTTTTCCACCCTTACACAGCACATTGTAATATTTTGAAAACTGTGTGCCTGCTGCATGGATTGGTCCTCTATCCGAGACATGCATTAGCATTACCTTCCCTCTTCTCCAACGGAGCCGACTTGATCCGATTTGTGTTTAAGATAAAGGT